CTCTGTGTAGATTTGGAGCCTGTCCTGGCACTCGCTCTGTAGACCAGGCTGGCCTCGAATTCACAGAGATCCGCCTGCCTCTGCCTCCTGAGTGCTGGGATTAAAGAAGTGCACCTCCAATGCCCGGCTTCTTCCTCATTTGAACCTTGATTTTTTTCCATTCCCTTAACACCTTCCCTGTCTCTTGATGTTTAGGTTATTCTAACCCATTCTCTAGTCCTTTCCTTCTCTTGAACACTCCCCTTGTCTCTTGCTCCATAGTTCTCTGTCTTGTTCCTACTTTCTCATCCTCACTTCACACTGCTCATGCTCACCACCTTTGCAGCTGATGCTAGGATCTAGATATATGTTGATACATGTGTGAGACTTTGCCTGTTTCTCTTTTAGTTTTGTTAACTGATCTCACATCTGCTTATATAGCCTTCTTTACTCAGTGTTTTTCACCTTCTCTTGTGGCAAATAATGTGTGCTGCAGCATGAGTGGGTGGGTGCATATCTCTTCCTTCTCTATTCATTCTTTTGCTGTCTGTTCACCTTGCTCTTTCCCCATCTCTGTTTAGTGCCTGTAGGGGTATCTGTTGGTGTGAGGTGTTGTAGGGAGACACTGTAACCACGCCTCTTAAGGAATGGCTACAGGTGTGCCTGACCACGCCTGTCAGGGTGTGGTCAAGGTGATGTCAGGGTGATGTGGGAGAGGTTTTTAAGGGGCAGACAAGGCACATGGGGCTTGCTCGCTTTGCTGCTTTGGCATGTTCTGGCTTGCTGTTGGTTGGCATTTATCTATTAAAGTTTATCCTAACCTTATGGATTTGGTATCAGCTATTCACCGCTTTAAGGTGTATTGTAGTTTCTAAGGATATGTGGTTCTGTATAGATGGTCTTTACAGATCGTTGTGTTTGTATTGCAGTTTTTTGTGGGTTTTGTTGTTTCAAAATAGTAGTAAAACATATAATGGAATTTATATTATAGTAATTCTTATGTTTACAATTCACTGGCATAAATTACATCTACAGTATTCTTTGTCTATGTCTGGATTCAGTCTTAGTCTTGCCAGGCAGGGTCCCATTTCTCCATGTGTGTCTGTGGATATGTGGGTCTCAGTGTCTGTCTGTACTCAGTGTCTGTCTGTTCTATGTATTTCTACTTCTGTGTGGTTTCATCTAGGGGCAATTCAATATGCCTGTCATTGGCTGCCTATATGTGTCTATGTGTATCAGTCTGTGGCTATATGTGTTGTATCCATAAGATATGTTACAGTCTGTGCCTATACCCATTTATATCTGTGGTTTTTGTGTCCTTGGGTCTGTGTTTGGGTTCATCCATTCTCATAGGGATCTGTTCCAGTGTCTGGATCTATGTCAATAAGTTTTTCTTTTATAGATTTATTTATTCATGCATTTGTTTATTTTATGTATATGACTGTTCACACATATATACATACGTGTATACATATATATATATATATATATATATATATATATATATATATAATCTATGTGCTACATGTGTGCTTGGTGCCCATGGCAGTCAGAAGAGGGGACTGGATTCTCTAGAATTAGAGTTAAGTACAGTTGTGAGTTGTCATGTGGGGCATGAGTCTTCTGTAATCAAGAACAATTAATGCTCTTAACCACAGAGCCATCATTTTTCCAACACCTGAAAATGTTCTTGAAAACTCATGCCCTTGTCCATAGTTTATACATAGATATGATACATTTGTCAGTGTGATTGTCTTTGTGTGCTAATATGGATGTTTCTGTTGGAGGAGGAGTCTTTGTATGATGATTTGCCTGTTTCTTCCTGTCTATCTCTGCTTGTCTCAGCTTGTCTTTTTTGTCTGCCTGT